GATCTTAGCCCCAACCATGTGAGACTGAGGTTATCGGCCATCTATTTGTAAAATTGACTTTCTAACCCCTCTTTATTTCGAATTCCAATATCCGCCACTGTTTAATGTTGCTTCTATTTCGTTTCTAGCTATAATCTTGGTGGAATATCAACCATGGTTCGCTCTAAGTTTCACAAAAAATAAATAATAAATGTGGGATAAATTATGAGGAAATTACATTCAAATTTTTAGACATAAAAAGTTCAACCATGGTGTGACTGAGGTGATTTCAAAATCCAGTATCCGTCACTGTTTAATGTTGCACTTTGGTGCTTTCGAATCATTCTCTATCTATAATCGTATTTTTGAAATATCGACAATGAGAAATACTTAGATATGGGGGTGGGGTGAGGAGATGTCCGCCTATACGAAGAGATTGGGCACCACTGATGCATATTGTGTTTATGTATTTGTCTTGTGAAGGGATAAGCCTATGCCATTTATAAGAATTACGTTTTAGCACTGTATCATTGGCCTTGGGAATAAAACAAATAATAATAATAATAATAATAATACTAATAATAATAATAATAATAACAATAATATAATAATAATGATGATGATGATGATGATGATAATGATAATAATAATAATAATAATAATAATAATAATAATAATAATAATAATAATAATAATAATAATAATAGACCTACCCCAAGAATCCTCAACACTCTCTTGACTTGTTCCATCCAGATAAGAGGAAAATACTACAAAAGAATACAGCAGAATTAGCTTTAAGATAGATCAATTCTAGATCGTTATCTGAAGTGCAAATTACACGAAATTTCTTGCTATCCGTTCAAATACATAGAAGTTGTCATTATTTAATAAAATGCAATTAGATTTAAGCCTAGCTAATACCGGTAATTGTTGTTGACGATGTTTACAAAAATTATACTAATGTAATTGGAAATGAAAATAATAGCATTGATAATGGATATAATAATAATAATAATAATAATAATAATAATAATAATAATAACAATAACAATAGCAATAACAATAATAATAATAATAATAATAATAATAATAATAATAATAATAATAATAATAATAATAATAATAATAATAATAATAATAATAATAATAATAATAATAATAGACCTACCCCGTGGATCCACAACTATCTCTTGACTTGTTCCATCCAGATAAGATCGAAAAATTGCTGCATAATTACGGTCACTCCAATAAATATGCCTTTCTACAGGGTCATACTCAACGGAGGCGGGATGAACTAGGGGTGGTGTACTATTTTTAAAAACTGCCGAAAATTGAAGCCGGGAACTGCCATTATGTATAGCCGACTTGAATATACAGTCTGCAACAGTATCGGTTACGAGCACGAGGTACTCTGTTAAATTGAAAGAATCAAAAGCATAACATTATAAATAATATTTCTGATAATGAAAATGATTATGATGATATACTGATATATACTGTTTATTGATAATAAAGAACAATATCATAATAATGATATGATAAAGATAAAAAAAAACGTAATGATAACAATAATACTAAACATATTGTATATATATATATATATACACAATATATATATAATATATATAATATATATATATATATATTATATATACTGTATATATATATACATATATATATATATGTAGCATGTATAGCATTAGTCTGTATTATTTAGTATTGTTGTTGTTATTATTATTATGAAACATTTTTCATTTGGATCCAATATAAATTCATACATTACATACATACATGCACATAGACCTACATACATAAATACGTACATTTATATTATTATTATTATTAGGGCTTGCCCTAACTTTTTTTGGTAACTAGCCCACTGGGCTTGTTTACTAGAGATTTTACTAGCCCACAAAATATTTTACTAGCCTACAGACAGGAACAAATTTTGTTTCAAAATATTTATTAGCGACAATTAAATTTGAAGGTTGATTTGCAGTTTCATAATTTCCGCAGCATTGCTGTTTGAGCTACCCTCTCAAAATATTGTTGAATAAATAAATAAAATATCACCCATGCTGCAAAATCGGCTCTGGTTATAACAGGGACAGATGAGCATGTTTTACATCTCCCTAGTTATAACTTTGGCTTTCTAATATTTAACAAAGGGCCCAGAAATCAATCAAACCAATGCATCTGTTAAATCTTTACGTCTCAAGTCTCTCACCCCCAATGGCAATAAATCTTGCTTAGGCTACCTATTAGGTCTAGACAAGACCTAGGGCCTGGGCTAGCCTACCTATAGCATTGAAGTACTTATTATTAAAAGTTGAACATTTTAAAAATACCATTATGAGAAAATAATATGAATATAAGGTAGTACATTAAATTAAATGTTCTAACTACCTAAATTAACCAGATTGAACGATCAAACGATCTTCTATTGAGAGAAAGATAACATGCCATCCTGTAGTGGTTGGTGAATGACTTGGGGATCATCTTAATAATTAAACACTCACGCATGTGGGGAGCTGAAAGCTAGCGAGAGTGTACTCTCTGGGCTGCGGTACCTCCTGTGCAGGGATTGTCTCGAAATTCCGCTTTTTAAAAAAAATTTTAAAAAGAAAATGTTTTTCTTGCTAATTATTCTCCACTAGACAACCGGGCAACATGAGGAGTAAAGAGGCTAGCCCGTAGCGGCTTTTACTAGACATTGTACGCCGGGCTAGTACTAAATCGAGCCCTGATTATTATTATTATTATTATTATTATTATTATTATTATTATTATTATTATTATTATTATTATTATTATTATTATTATTATTATTATTATTATTATTATTGCTGTTGTTGCTCTAATATTGACCAAAAAATGCAAATCCTGGTTCCAATCTATAAAACAAATGAGTTATTACCTGAATAACATTCGCCAAAAAGAACGATTACAATTAGATATATCAATCCACGTCCACACCCACCAATCTCACCTACATGTAAATGTCCGTTCATTTTCTTCATCTTTAAACCCAGAATTAAGTAATTTCACCAGTTTCGACGGATTAGAAACATTGAATAATTATCTTCTCTCACAGAGGACACAGATACAATGTACCTTTCTGCTGCTTCGTAGGTGTAACAGAAATGTATATGTGTATATACAGTAGATCTCACTCCAATATTAGGCCTTGTCGATAGAAGTAGACGTCCACACTCAAATTTTATACTGTACTGTCCGATCGATGTACAGACGATGAACATGTCTCTCGATAAGTGTCATCTCAATTTTTTTATTCACTGAAACTATGCAAACGCCATCACACGTCGCTTCAATTACGCGTGCATGGTCGATTGAAATATATTAAAATCAACGTCATCTATATAATTATTATTTGCTATCATCTCATCTTCACTATTATCATTTATATATTTTTCGAATACGAATACTATTAAAAGTTGATTGTAAATCTCCTAATAAATTAGGTACTTGAAGGTTAACAGAAATTGCGATGTGTTTTTCACAAAATAATCTGAAACACTTTACAAAATCAAATAAAAACATATCAGAGTAAAAACAAAAACAAACAATATCATAAAAAAAGAAATGAGACGTGATGTTCGACTACATTTTCTTTTAAATAAACTTCACAATTATGGTATCTGTGATTCAATGTTGGACTGGTTTAGGTCTTACCTGTCCTATAGATCACAGAGAGTTAAATTTAGAGGTGCAACATCTGAGGATATATTGGTTAAATCCGGAGTCCCGCAGGGATCAGTGATTGGGCCAATCCTCTTTAATCTCTTTGTGTCCGACCTCCCTTCCTGCATTCAATCACAGATATATCAATATGCTGATGATACACTAATCTATAGAGTCATCAGAAATAATAATAATAATAATAATAATAATAATAATAATAGGCCTAATGATAACAATAATAATGATAATAATAATAATGATGAATATATTTTACAATCTGATCTTCATGCTATTACTAACTGGTGTGTGAGAAATAAAATGTTACTAAATATTGATAAATGTATGGTGATGCACCTGACTAGATCCAGAAATCGTCTTGAACGGGCTAGTGATTATTTTATTGGAAATGCTAGACTTCCTGTCACCAGTTCTGTAAAGTATCTTGGCATTAACTTGAACAGTAAACTTACTTGGGATGAACATGTCCAATATATTAGGACTAAAAGCAACCGCATGTTAGGTTTTGTGAGACGTATCGTTAAATGTCACGATAAAGATATAATTTTGAGGTTGTACGTAGCTGTAGTTAGGCCTTTTATAGATTACGGTATTCCTGCCTGGATTCCATTCTATAAAAAAGATATTGCTACCCTTGAGTCCGTTCAAAGACGAGTTACGCGTATCTGCTTTCCGAGATCCACAGGCAGTATCCCGTACTCTGAACGTTTAAAGCGTCTTAATCTCATTTCCATTAGTAATCGTATTGACTATTTTTGCATTAATTTTGTAGCCAAATGTTTATATAACACGTATGATTTGGATGTTTTTGAGGCCTGCCTGTGGATCTCGGTGATCAATTATTATTAACTAATTATAATATTTTTAAATATAACTTAAAAAAATACCTTACTGACCTAGCCTAATGTTTTAAATAAAATAAAATGCAATTTTTACCAATATTTTATCTCAATTTTACTGTTTTAAAAATACTTAAAGGATTGGAATTTTTATATATTTAAATTTTAATAATGCAATGTAATTTTTATACTGATTTTTAAATTTTAACTTTCATGTTACATCTTTGTGTATAGTATTTCTTTGTGGAGAGCCTCTCGACTGTTATTTTATTTATAACATTTAGGCAATCCTGCCTCATTGATTTACCTTTGTTTGTGCAATGTCTTTGTTTGTAATTTTTATAATTTTACTGAGGCGAAATAAATGATATATGATATATATGATATATATATATGATATATTTAAATTAGTTATTCACATAAAAAAGTAATAAAAACTATTTAATACAAAACTTTAGTTAAATAGCTTTTTTAATCGATTTTAGAGTCTACTAATATGTAGAAAATACATGTATTTCTCTCCCCACCCCCCGACGAATTGTGATTTTTCTCCCCGACGGGGGAGGGACCCTCCCCGACAGGGGGTCCTGCCCCTTCCCCCCGTTGGTGCCACCCCTGCACAGTTCATTGAAGAAGAAATAAAGGACAATTGGATTACTGTACTTAAACTTTAATATTTTAAAGTATTTAATACAACATTTTGATCAAATACCGGTAATAAACAATGTAATGTCTTGATCGGTCCTGATTTATAATATCTTACGCTTCTTCAGTGTCGTCCTCAGATACTGGTGGGGTGTTTCACAATTCTGCTCTAATGAGATGCACTACTAGCATCTCATTGGTGGGGCGGGTTGGATTAGTGATGGAGAAATGCTCCATAAAAATTTCTGTAACAATTCCCCTCTCTCGTTATTCATTCGTGACGATACTGACTCACCATCCTCCCAAGTGTAAATTTTATAAGGTCCGGTCAGGACGGCAATGGGCAGATGGTTTGGTACGGCCTTTTCAAACTGTGGTGCTGCAATCACTGATGCTTCCATTTGTTGGCTTAAATCAGTGTCATTGGTTTGATATGTGCCTTTGTGGGCTGGATAGGACATAATATTCATTTTTTGAATAAAACGTTTCAGAATACAAGTAGGCCTAAATAAATTCAAATTGTAATGTTTTCACATATTGTATTTTTATGACTTCATTTTTTTTATATGCAACGAGGAACCGAGTCTTACATTTTACAGTATGTGACAATAAAGTATATCTACGTCTATATCTATGTCTATGATTGGTTGAAATACAAATTGTACAGTATACCGCGCCTTCCTTACGTTCACGTCTGTATGTTTATTTAATTCAGATACTAGTGGCAAATGTTTACACAGTTATGATAGTAAATAAACTAATATATATAATATACGGTAATGGTTAAACTTGCCACAAGTCCCTTGTTTTTTGGGGGTTTTTTTTCTCATTCTGGACAGCGCCACCATCGAGTAAGTTAATTTAGATACGGAATAATCCGGGGGGGAAAATGAAATTGGGTATGGTACGCCAATTAAATTTTGTATGGCGCGCAGTAAGCTCAATAAAGAGTAAGTAACCACAATTTAAGGCCTGAAACCCAGGCTAGGTAATGGTATATTAAGGTAAGGATATACTAACAGTAACTTTGCATAGCCTTGATAATCCAGATGTTAGAGATAAGATAGGCTCCTGATGTTTTGTGTTAGGTCTATGTATTAAATGGTAATACCCTGTACTTATCAGTCATTCCTTTAAAAAATATGTTATAATAATTGTATCAAGCATTTGCACATCAACGAATAATATACAGATATTGACTGCTCATGAAGGGAATAGTGAAATATGTTGCACCAAGTTGATGTGGAGACCGTAGCCTATTTTCCTGAGGCCCCCACATCACCGAGGGGCTATAGATTTCACCGTTCCCCAAATCTAGAGCAGTCAATATTTTTTTATATACCTCATACATAGATTCTACGAGGCCTAAAAAGTACTTACTTCCTAGCTAGCCTAGCGTAGAGGCCTACACACTAGCCTAGTAGGCTAATAAATTAACACAACAGTTTATATTTTATTACTTTCTTGCATAAAGATAACATAATGTAATCAATAAAGGCATACCAAAATATTATGTAATTACGTTCGACAATGATTTGTGCTAGGCTACTCTAAAATCTGTAATTTTGGTAATTTAATATAAAAAAAATAAAATAATATTTACTTGTTTGAATTTTATATATATATATATATATATATATATATTGTCTCTTATACACATCTATATGTGTATAAAAGACAGGGCCTACACAGACATATATATATACACACAGTATATATATATATATATATATATTATATAGTTTCATCATGTCCTTATTAAACACTGTATATATTCTGTCTCTTATACACATCTAGATGTGTATAAGAGACAGGCACATTCGCTCATTAGACAATAAGATATTTTTTATACCTCAAACCTTGTTGGGTGACGTTAGTTTTCATGGCGTCTTGATCGAGTAGAGAACAGAAAAGCTCATATTCTTTAGAAACAATATTATATGCAAGAACGTTAATGCTATTTGTCATCCACGTCGAAAATAAAGCAATAATGCAAATTTAACTATAGGAAAATAATATAAATTTTGCTCGAATATAGGAACAAAATAGTTCATATATACTTATTGTCAAAAAGCAAGCCATATGAAATACACTTATAAATTTGGGATTAGGAAAAAGTACATTAATAACAATACTTATATTACTATATTCTGAATCCAGGTATACATAAAGTAGGTGAAGAAATTTCATTTTAAAATTAGAAATATATGTAATTACATTAAACATGATAAATATTTTTAATAAAATCGAGATTTAAACCCAACACCTTCCAATTTCCCTTTCGGAAAATCTACCAGCAGAGCTATAATGTATACACTCTTGGATTTTTCCATTAGGACACCTTTTTTCAAATCATTGCGCAATAGGCAATAAATGGACTAGTACAGTATATAAATCACATGATAATGACTTTAGCATTGAGAAACACAATACAAAAAAGAGAGTAACTCCGAAAACAGGCAGAGCCATTTTGTGTCACTAATTAGTGGATCCTGGGCTTGTGAGAAAAAAAAAACTTCATTGGTGATAATTAACGATTATCTTTAATTATCACCAGTTTCATGTGGTTTCATTTATTGTATATGTAGACCCTATAATTAATTGATTATTAGTCAATCAAATATTTTCTATATGTAACACACTTTTGTTGAATGATGGTTGATGCAACGGTGTTTTCACCAAGCAGACCACAGAGTACGTTGTCTAGATTTGTAATGACCACAAATCCTTCGCAAAGCGAATTGTACAAGCATTTGTCGGCACAGTCCACAGTCCTTTCGACGCTGGAGTTAAAAATAGTTCTCTCCATTAGGCAAATCTCTTTTCTTTTGGAGTCTAATACCTTCCTGAAGAAACCGCGTGTATCTAATAATATATAAATATATAATTCCAAAAGCTTTATAATATATACCATATTGTGCATTTAGAGAGACCAACAATTAATTAATTAGCCATTTAATCTCTTGTCTTTTAAATTTTCATTATCAATTTTGTGCATTTGTAATTTATTTAAAAACCATTGTATTATTTATCTCTGTTAAAAAAGGAAGTAACTAAATGTTGAATTGAATTGAATTTATATATAGAGGGTAAAAAAGAACGCCACCTACGGCTGTCATTGTTTTTAATACTCTTGTTACATTGGTTAAAGACATACTGAAAATTAATCTAATAAACTTGTCTCAGATATTCAATTGAATTTCTTATATTTTACTGTAGGCCTATTTTTCAATAGGTTAAGATAAGATTTTCGTTTTAAAATGTCTGTAAATTATTTAAAATTGAATGGTTTAAAATACATATAAGACTATAATAGGAATGGTGTAATCAATATGATAATATCACTGGCTGTCGATTGCACACGCACTATATAGGCCTAGCACTATCACATTATAGGCCACTTTGCATTAGTATACATACATTAGACTATCATGAAAGGAAGAGACGCCAATTATACCTTGAGCTTTGTTAGTTGTTACACACATCTTACTTGTTGGATCTGAAAAAAGAAAATTTATTTGTCAATACATTGTACTGTACTCTTATACACATC